CCAATTTACACTATAAACTTAGTTGGTAAAAACAAAATTATCTTGTAATACCTCCAACCGACGCATCGCCATAGTTTCTTTAGAAACTTACCTCCTTTTCGATAACTAAGGGTTGGTCAAACCGGTATATCACATATTTTTGAGCCAATAAGAGTTTAATTGATCTGACTTGTTTTATGACTTTTCTGCATGAATTTCCGCGCTAGAATTCCCCGTTGATAAAGCTTTGCATAACCACGAATCATTATGAAATGACTAAGCGCAGTTGTATGTATTGACCGTATATTTCTCAAGTTGAGGGTTCTCTTGATCTAGAGCTGTTGCAAGAAGGGTTACGAAACACAAATGGAATGCGTACAAGACGATGCTAAAAGGTTTTGTGGGTAAGGATACATACCAGTGGTTTGGCCAATGATGAGGGCAATCTTTGAAGATAGGTATACATATCCCCTCGTTTTGATACGTAAAAGCAACAAGAACTTCCTTTGACAATGGGTTTGTCTGATAGGCCCTTTAGGTAATAACCTAAACATAGTTCTTTCAAGAAATATGTTTCTGACTTCTTTGTTAAGCAGAACTTTTTATTTAAGTATTTAATATGTCAAGGCCACCATGACTGCACAGAACAGTGCTTTATTGCATCCATAAGGCTACATAGCAATTTGTACTAAATATGATTTTCCATTCGGAAAAGACACTAGTATGATACACATACACTAGTTTGTGTACTGGATTAGTTCGTTTGCCAATGATTTACAACTAATAAACCACCATCTATTCATCATCACCGTCATCCTCATCACCACCCTCATCCTCATCATCACCGTCATCCTCATCATCACCATCATCACTATCGTCACCATCATCACTATCGTCACCATCATCACTATCGTCACCATCATCACTATCGTCACCATCATCCTCATCATTCTCATCATCTTCATCGTCTTCATCATCCTCATCATCTTCATCATCTTCATCGTCCTCTTCATCCTCGTCGTTCTCGTCAACGCTATCATCATCAAGATCATCATCGTTACTGTCATCAGCGGCGGCTGAATCATCTTCTTTGGTGTCAGCAGCAGCATCAGTGCTAGCATCCTCTGCAGCAGGCTCAGTCTCGCTCTGAGCTGGATCATTTTCAGCTTCAGATGGTTCAGCTACAGCTGGATCAGTGGCATTGGCACTTTCTGGAACGTAGTTACGAGCCTTATCTTCATGGGTATCTAATAGCGTGACATTTTAGGTATAAGATCCATAATGCTGTACAAACCATTCAAAAATATTAGAAAAGAAAAACAGCTGGGATATTTTCTCTTCGACTAAGTGTGCCCCATAGGGCACAGCCACATCGCATGTTGAATCTTTTTTTCAAAATTGATTAGGATTGGAGCTAGGTACGAAACCCACACCATCTTAAAGTTTATACCAGATCGTTCATTTCACTAGCAGATGTTTCGCTTACTTACCAGCTGGCATACACTGCACAGTAGCGAAAACGGCAATCAGAGCCAATGCAATCAAGAAGTTCCTCATTCTGTATTTGGTAAATTTCTCGATGAATCTAACAAAGAAACATTATGTCAATATGATGGCGATGGTATGGAACCAAACTGACACTGACAACAAAAAGTTCCTGAATTGTAAAATCAAGGCTCTCTGTTTCAGGCGTTCAGCCGGTAAAATGATGCGTGATAGTAAACAGCATAATGGTAACGGAGGAGCGAAAAAACCAGGGAGGTTGAGTCGGGTCGCGTAACGACTGATTATGATGTTCTTCTAAGAATATTAGTGCCAAAAATACTGTGTGCTTAGTGACTGAGCGGAAGGGCCGTACGGGAAAAAACTGGTTCGAGGTCAAGACTTACTCAGTCAAAAGGTATTTGTTTATAGGAGCACTAAATATTAAAATTTTGAAATCGTGTTCGATCTTGTATAAGACGCATTTACATTTAAACCATTGGCGTGCGTTGATTACAAAAAAGATTCCGTAATAAAAACTGTTTATCAAGTCCTTGAGTCAGAACAAGAGACTGACAATTCATCGAAAACTGCGACTCATTTTTTCATTTCTGTTATATTTTTATATTAAAGTCTGCCACAGGAATTTGCGTTCTCTGCAACAGAACCATGCGAGCGCAGGCTCAGACGGCTCTTTCCAGACCGGCTCACGTCAGCCCGACCAGCCCTACACTTCTAAAAAATGAAGGATATTTTGCATACATGGTTAAACCAATATTTGAGGTAATGATACGTGAAGCGTGAAGGAATAAAAAAGAAAAACCTGGACGTGAGCACAGAAGAAATTTAGTCTCATAAAACTTATCTTTTCAATATAGGAAGCTGAAAGGAGCTAGTATGTTGCCGTTGTGAGGGGTCATGGTGGCTGATAAGGCCTGATATGTGGCCGTTTCACTAAAAAGTGAGGTGGTATCCGGCAAGTTCTTATTTTGTTAACAATTATTTCACTTTATGTTATTCAATTCCAGCTCATGAGAAATTCAAACAACCAGAAATCATATGAAAGATTGAGTGACAAAATGTCAAAACAAAACGAGAGAAAGATGTTGAAATTTTAACAATTTCAATCTACTGCGGAATTGTTCTCTAGGAACTTATTTTAACCTGTCTTTAATGAAAAAGTACGAAAAGGAAGAAGAAATCTAAATTAACCTCACTTTTAGATTTGTTTTGTTTCGCCTCTTCATAATTTTTACATCGATGACCTCATGATTTATCGGTTAATGTTTAAACCTAAGACTTGGGCCGGTAACAAACCTCCTCTCCCTACTTTGTTTCCTTTATTTTGAAAGTTTAACCGATCTTAACTCGGCTACTAGAATGGAAAAAAATATCCGTTTCCTGCGAGAAACTTCATGTTCATTATTTTCTTAACAGTATCTTGAACGTAACGCCGTAATGAGTGATCAAACTGATTAAGTGTTGTTACTGATATAGATGCCGTGACAATTTTTTAAAAATGTTCAGCGATTCAGTATCATGTGGCACAGTGAAGTAGTGAGACACCAAAACAGCGACAGAAAACTTTAGTTAGACAAATGAATCTCTAGTTATGTAACTGTCTTATGTGAAGCTATTACTTGATCTTTGTACTCGCTTTTACCATGAAATAATCCCGACTAACTTGATTATGATTTCTACACCACTGAAAGCCATGCCAGAGCCAGAATTAAAGGAATAAAAGACAACTTCATAAACAAATAAGACTTGAATTAAGCAAAGAGAATAATTGTATAGTGTATACACGAAGGTTAATGATTTACCTTCTTCCGCAAAAGTTGCACCTTGCACTTAGTCCTCAACTCTTCGAATGGCGTTGGATCCGCAGACAGATGCCTTTTGTTCCTGTTTATTGTTGAATATGGTGATGTAAGATTAAATGGTCGAATGGCCTTTTTTCTAAAATATATATGGTTATTTTATTCCCTGCTGCTATTAACTGATCTCAAAACAAACATTTTTACGTCACCCTGGAAAAGAAGTCTAATAGTCTGTGCAGCGTAAGTTTCCACTTTTTCAACATGACACAACAAGCTGCACGCCACTAGAATCGAAGTAAGATTATAAAACATTTTCAGCTACATTTACCCAGAGTTTGTTAAAGCGCTCTTGAACAGTTTCTCTTCTTTCAATATTTGTTATTTTGTTTCAGTTTTGATAGCAGGTTGAGACAGGCTATAGGAGTTTAAACAAAAGAGGTGGTTAATAACAAGTTTTGATTAAGTGGAAATGGTTCATGTTTGGAAATTTGAACAAACTTTCAACACGTCTTTAGTGTTCCTCAAAAGCTGACCGTAGTAACTACTCTCTTGTAGTCCACAGGAATTGACAAAATCAATCTATGCCGTAAAAGTCGTGAGAAGTTAAATTTTTAATAAATATCCTCTTTTGATGAGGAGAAATTGTTTAACAAACACGAAAGTGTTTATCAATGCCACCAAATGAATTCATTTATGGTAGCGAATCACTTTTGGCCAACTCTTTATTGCCGTTGCAAAACCAAGATGAGATATGGAAAAAAAGCCAAACACTACTGGTTGTTTGGTGAACCGTCTCGAGGACCAAAACAGCAAATTTTAAACATTGATCAACTCCTGAAGTTCAAGAAACGGCTTAATTAAAACACTTTAAACGAAAAATCAGTAACGAAGTAAGTTTCTCTTTAATAGGACTGATTACTCTTGGGCTAGAAAAGCAAACTGACTCCCTTTCATATGTGGGTGAAACTTTACATCTAATGTAGGTTTTCGTTTATTCAATTATAGATACTTAGTCTTTCTTTGAAAATAAATCAGCTTTTCAATTGCAACCTTCTGATTTCGCACATAACCGACTGAACTCAAGCTAATTAGGGACAGGTTAGAGGAAAGGGTATCGTTATATATCTTTTTGTGTTTGTTACATTTGTGGAAGATGTTGAAATTTTAACAATTTCAATCGAGTGGATGAAACTTTAGACGATTAAAATTCTTATTTCTTTTCGTACTTTTTCATAACAGAGAGGTAAAAATAAGTTCCCAAAGAACAACGTAATTAGGGATCAGGTTAGAGGAAAGGGCATTCATTATATATCTTTTTGTGTTTGTTACATTTGCATCAGGACGAACAAGCTGTTTCATTTAAAGTTACAATTAGTCATTATTTTCATTCTTCAGGGTTCGTTAATAACAACATAGTTTCAAGAAAAAAAGGGAAATTCAGTGATTGCGTGAATGCGAAACCAGCATTTATGTAGAATAATTCTCGGCAAAGGGTTAGAATCCTCTTTTATCTGTAAGGACGTTTAAGTGTTGTCAAATATAGTTAACGATTATCGGAGTTGTTTAAGCAGAGATTATAGTAGAGACGCTCAAGAGGAATTTTGAACATTCAATGCATGAATTCCAGAGACTTTGTGCCTCCATGAAAATCTGAACAAAGGCCATTGACCATAACAAAGAAGGTGCCGAACACAACAAGAAAGCTTATCAAATCACAAATCATGAAAAAATATTTAATAACTTTTCAGTACTTAAAACATCACACTTCTGTTGCTGTACTGCGCGTCAAACTGAAAATGTGAAATGCACGATGGAATGAAAATCCCTTGGTGGTCCCTGAGCTAATTTCATTATCTAGTAACCCTTTGTGATGTAATGTATTAATGAACTTCCGATAGCTTCAAGGTAATTATTATTTGTTTCTAGCCATGGTAAACCCTTCAAATAAAATTAACTTATCTTTCTTACGCTGTTTCTTTCTTTAATTAGCCTCATCCTTTGGTGCCAAATAAAAACTTCCAGTGAAGAACCGTTTGGTTCCTTGCATGGAGAACTAAGGACCGATGCACGGACCAGTTGGAAACATAAAGATACCTAAAGGTATATTGTTTACACTGGTCGACATGACAATTTGGGACACCGAGTGAATAGGAAGAAAAGTGTAATCAATAATAATCAATGCCCTTTGATATGAAATATATTTGATGAGTAAATACATGTGCAGGTACAGTTTACAACCAAAAATGAATAGCTTTAAATATGTTACCCTTCTACAGTTGACAGTAATACTATCGTGCCTGATTGGCTCGTTTCTTTTGATTCAATGCAAAATATGGTTTCGGAATTATTACATATCTGAAGATATGATCGAAGGTCTCAGTGGGGTTAACCGTTAGCCGTAAACGGCCAAAGATTTTGGCTGTTAGCCGTAAAATTTGACAAATTTTAACTACTAGTTGTAACAAAAATTACTTTATCATATAAACTACGTTTTTATACAAGGATTTCCAGCCCTGTGAAAAGCCGTAACAACACACGTGAAAAAATACGATATTTTTTCACGTGTGTTTGATATCGCCAATCAGCTACTGACGCGCCACTTGCCTTTCGCGCCTCTCGATCAGGTTGATGAATGAACGGCAAAGCCTTCACCATTCTCAATCCACAGACGTTTGTCGGAATCTTTTCGGATTATGGCTACTAAAACACCGAAAAATCCGTATCGCTAACAGACAGTGACGTTCAAACTTTCCTAGAGGGGGAAGAAAACCAAAATACGAAAAGAAAAACCGAAGTTACGTATTCAGTGGCTTTGGTAATGGATTTCTCCCGGCTGAGAACGAAAATCAACAACTAGAAGATTTGCCACAGGCCGATTTTGGCCGTGTACCTGAAAGATTTCTTTTGTCGGTACAATTTCAATAACTGAGAATTCGCATATTGAAAATTAGGCCATTGTTTATTTTGTAGTGATTTAACGCACGTTTTCATCTTAGGTGCGCCAACGTTCTTTACGATTTTTATTCAGGGATTGTCAATCTTTTTTTTTTTTTTTTCATTCATTCATTCATTAACAAAGTTGACTTTGCTAGTCAGTAAAGGGCTTTTGTGTTTATATGATAAACAAAATAATACATGGTTGCTTGTAGATATGAAATTTCGCTCCTCGTGTACAACTCGACATCTCACTCGTGAGCTATCGTGTTAAACACTCGAAGAGAAATTCCATAACTACGCGCGCCCATGTATTATTCTCTATTTAAAAAATTTTGACCTCAATGAGAAAATATTAACCGTAATCCGTAAAACTCATCACCCCATTGAGACCTTTGTGATTTTGCTTTTACAGCCATACTTATATTATTATGATGGCTCGGTCTCAGGCAAATCCTCTGCATCCCGTTACTAATATAGGCAATATGAGGCTGCCATCGCAACACATATTCATCCTTGTGTGATACATCATCGCTCCACAACATCGTACGCCAGGAGATGCTGGATATACAAAACCCGCGCAACAAAGCTGGGTAACTGTATTGTAGGAAGTGGGATAGTGCTCAGCGAGGCAACAGGCTGAGTAAGGTGAGGGTTTGGGAACTACCCGATTTTCGCAGCACAATTGATTCTGTACATCATATGCCATCCTTCCGCAGCAAGCTGAATGATTTCCTACTTTGCGGACAGGAAGACCCTCGCAGCAGAGCTGAGTATTGACATCGTATGCTAGCGAGCCGCAGCAAACTGAGTGTATCCCTGGTTTGAATTGTACATAGCTATCACAGCATATTTGGGTAGCCATATTGTATACGTGACTTCCGCAACAGGCTGATTGGACTCCAACCTTTGGTAATGGCGTACTATCACAACACAATGTGTAATTTGCATCATAAGGATCACTTCCACAGCAGCTTGGTTGCCGGAATCCTATCTTTGAATGTGGGTTAGCGTCGCAGCACATCTGGGTTAATGGATTGTATGACTCGCTACCACAGCACATGAGACGTGCTGTTGTTGTCCTAGGGATTAATGTATCATCACAACACAAGAACATAGCTGTACTGTACATTTGGTTTCCGCATACCCCAAAAAACCTGCGAAATCTTGAAACTCCCTTGTTTGGTCCTGTTCATGACAAAGATTAAAGCAATATCAATATACTCAAAATGATTTTTTTATTCCCATATTTGCAATGGTCTTTAATGGTCTTTGTCTAAAACGGGTCCTCATTTGACCTGCAGTTTGCGTAGCGTGTTTTGTTAGACCATCACGGCTTATCCATATTTTGTTCCGAGACAATTTTTCCTTTTCTGTCTTTAGGTGTAGCAGCAGCATAGCCCTAGTACCACTTTCAAGGCAACAAATTAAATGAGCCAGCACTGAAATGCACAGCGGGGTCCAGTCCGAAGTTTAAAGGTTTCCCTCTTTTTTGCCCGTTTTGCATTTGAAAGCACGCGATTTTCATTATCTCTCTCTCTCTCTCTCTGTCTCCCCTCTCTCTCACTCTCTCTCTCTCTATGTTTCTGCGTCTCTTTCCTTTTATTTCCGTCTTACTTGCTTTCTTCAAAGAATTTTCTTTACCAAAGATTTTACCTAGAGAGCTCAAGTTAAATACTGACTAAACAAATCAAAGCCTCTTAGCTTAGTGATTTTAATTCTGTTGTGATAAAATGAGTCCCATTAATGAACGGTGAGTTATGCAGTGATCTATTTGCAGAATGATTCACTTTTCTAGCTGGGATTGTAGATTTTATGTTATGTATCTGTTATGTTTGTCAGCACAAACGGGGTCGAGACGAAGACCGAGTTGAATAAAAAGTACACGAGATAAGTACAGCAGCGAAATGATGAAGAAAGGGCAATACGCTTGTAGCCTTTTCGCAGAAACAAATAAAATTCTTGTCAAAAAGGGAGATCCCACATCAGGAAAATTGTTGTTTGGATCTTTTTGTGAAACTATATTGACACGAATGTTCAAAGTATATCCCCGGATTTACAAAGATGATATATTTGTTGTTTTTCAGTAACTCGAAGATAACTACTTATTCATGTACCTTATTACCTACCAATTCTTTGTTCATTTCTTCCCTGCAAAGCGGAGTCTTTGTTGAAGGAAGCACCGTTGGTGAGAGTTACCAACAGGACTGTACAAAGAGAAGTCGTTATAATGTACCACATCTCTGATGCCGTGCTTTCACCGATAAGCTATTTAGGCTCTTTGATTTGCTCTAGAAGACAGCTGCTTCTAGTTCTTGCCACGCGTGAGGGGCGTTTTTAAACTATCGATACTAACAACAATGTTTTTCAATATATATAATGGCTTTTGACAGTATCAGGAATGTAGTCAACTCAGTTAGCCTTCCGATAAATAACAATTGATATCGTTTTTATTAGTCTTAATCAATGTTGTTTCCAAGGAGCATTTTACAAACTCGGTCAGAGTAAATAAATTAAAAAAAGAGAAAAACTATCAACGAGGGCTGGTAGAATTCAGTTGGTGATTATTTCTTGCTTTTTAGTCTCATGTCTTTTAGACATCCTAAAGATATATCGCTTAAATATTTTTATAGTCATATTACAATACAAAACATTATACAAAGAAAACAGTATTGGACACATATTTGGTGCAATAGTGTGCAAGTGTAGCAACCTTAAGGTTGACTTCAAGCAGTCAACAATACCCTTATGGACCGTTGGTAGACCGACCTATCTCACAGTTTCAAATTTCTAACTTATAAGTTCTACATAAAAGGAAAAGGCAATTATTCAACTTTACATTTTTCAAATCCACAATAAAGTTTTAAACGCTCAGATCTGTTTCTGTTTTGCCTTTCTTTCTCAAAACTGATCAAACTGTGTGCGTCTCAAAAAAGGACACACAAGCCATACGTGATCCAATACACACAACAGGTTTCGTTGTGATCCAATTTACAGTTCGTTATCCACGTTGAAGGCCCACTCGATAATCATTTGGAGCAGAATGAACAAAAAACCCTCATTGGGAGCCCTCCGCTTTAGCCAGTGGTAAATGAGAAAGAAAGTAAAATGTAACAAAACTTTCCTTAGGTCATGAGTCATTGTCATTTGCTTGTTCAAATATTACATTGTTAGTAAATGATTCGCGTGTAGTTCATAACACCGATGATTCCAATATCATTTTTTTTTTCGGCTGATAAAATACTGGAAAGTATTTTCTAGTTCAACTATTTTAATTTGCCCTCCCTCTTTTTTTTTTTACTCAAATATTTATGGGTTGATGTCTAAAGCTTTCTAAAATTATCTGAATTTTGTACGACTTGTCCTTATATTTTCCATATTGTACACAAAGAGAAGATTAGAGGATAAGAGCAACAATTCTTCTGTCGTTTGGATGAAAAGACTGAAATTCTTTTAGATGAATAATATTTGTGAATATTGAAACTAATAGGTATGGATTTTCCTGCCAGGTATTCTCCGTGGGCACCAAATAGAAACACACTCTGGGGAAAAAAACTTTGACTAAATTGGTTGGTACTGTGTTTGCTATTTAGTTGAGAGGCCAATGCTCCCAATATCATATATCTTCATTGCGGATCTTTTAGCTAGATATTTCATGCAGGGGCTCAAATATTGACCAAAATGATTATTACATCACCTAATTGTAGCGAATATTCTTCTCAGAATTCATTAGCTTAGTGATACTTTTTTCTCATAATTCTTCTTGTCCTAACTTTCATTTCTCCAAAAACAAACTGTCATGCTCTTGTTTTTACGGTGTTTAGGGTAACCAAAGCCTATCAAACCTGGTCGCCTTCTCGACGACGCATGTAAACTGAGAAAAAATACATCTTCAGTCAGTTAGTCGCTAACAATTTTATGAGAATAAAGAGAAAGAGTGAAAAGACTTGACCTGTGAACAGCCCCAGCTAATATATGTTAATAAGTCGAGTGAGACCGATATCACTGAGGTGGTTAAGAAATCTCTCATTAAGTTTTGTTGCTTAAAGTGATCTATGGAATAAGTATAATCCAACAACATCTGCTGTAATCGCGTCGTCGTGTCTTGATGACGACTAATAAAATGCAGCGAGTCCGGAAAGTCGTGCCGCTAAGCGGCCATTTCCTTACGGGCGATAGCTCATATTCCAGTATGAAATTCTTGCTTGATTAATTTAATTAAAGATTGACACAAACAATTAGAGCCAGTATACATTAACATTTGCCGAGGCAGGCGTTGTCTTACAACTTAAAGTGATAACTAATTATCAGTCCACATAACAAGCGGTGAGCAAGCGGTGCCGAAATGTAGCACACTGATGCTGTCAATCAGCCATAATGTTATGGTGGACATGAATTCTATTTAAAAACACTTCCATTTCTTTCTAGAGGGAAACAATCGTATTGGAACTTTCTCCAACCTTCGGTCAAGATCAAAAATCCGGTCTAATCTTATCCTCGCACAATATCTACAGTTCCAACCAAATTTTTGTTGCTTAAAATTTTTTATCTTATTACATCTCAATTTAAATTGTCTAACAACTTGGAATCAATTTCCACCAAATCGCCGAGCTTTAGGTTTCTTGCTGACCTTCTCTCATGCTACAGTTAATGAATAATAGTCAAACATTTGGATCAAGATTCCATTGAGAGTCCCCACCTTGAATATGTGGAAGACAATTGCAATTGGCCTCTGAGCTAGTTGTTCTATTCCCTGCAGTTACATCGTGTTGGCATTATTACTAACCAGGTCAAAACAGCGCTCTAGAGTTGTTATTCCGTTTGAACTTTATCAATCTGCTGTCGCGTCAAATTGTCTGCGGTGTTCTGCGTATCACGATCAGTCTTTGCAGTCCTTTTGGTCAATGTTGTGCTGTTTCTACGACTCAAGTTCACTTATGTCCATTGCATCACTCCTCGTTCGCAATTTATAAGAGAGTAATCAAGTCATGAAACTAACGAACGAACTATGGATGAAATTTGAGCCTTTAATTTTATCGTAAAGAATCAAATAAGTTAATTAATTTTACTGGTATAAACGCTTGACACTCAGACTAACAAACACATGACCCACCCCAAATTACATGAATTAATTATAATCAGTAAGAAGTGCAAGTCCATTCCTATCCCTTATGAATAAATACTATGATAAGTAGATAACTGTATCAATATATTGTTTATTTGATGTGTATTTCTTAAAAACCTTAAAGCTTGCACTGGATCTATATCTGTAGGTAGAGAACTCCACAATTGTGTGAATGTGATAAGGATACAAGATACATTGAGGGACGGAAATTTTCGAAAATGATTTTGTTTCATAATCTTAAGTGTTTTAGTACAGTCTATCGAAATTCACCACTTTGGGAGATAAAAACATTATTCCTGGTGAGAATTTAGGAAAAGATCATTTTCGAATCAAAGTAAACAAATTGGCTAAGGAAACTTTGGAAGCGCTCTTCTACGCTTTGACCTTCGAACCAATTGGCCAAACATTCCCGAATTCGGGGCTCACGGAATAAGACCGATTCCCTTGGAAATTGGCAGAGAGTAAGATCAATAGTTGAAGAAAAAAACCGCGCGGCCGAATTTTGATTTTCGAATTATTTTTGAGATATGACGATGAGTGCAAAGGTCAGCAATAAAAATTGCAAACTCGAACTTGAAAAGCTCATATTTTTGCAAGAATACGTCGATCAACAACCGGCCACACGACTTCTTAGCACATTTTGGCATGCTGATTGACTTCCCAGAGACTGTTTGCCGAAACAAGAAAACGCTAGCGCGTATTAAATCGATTGCAGACACATGAGTAGTTTTCTCTTTCTTTTCAATTATCTCTGCATTTCAGAAAAATTAAAAAAACAAGGAAATTCTCGAATTCTGTAGTTTATAAACTGTAAAATGATTAATCGTTTTATATATGGATTAACTCAAAGCACTTGCTTAATGGTAATTTTTTGTGACCCACCGTAAAATAATATTGTAGCCTTCAAAAAGTTTCACTCCTTCGTGAATCGTAATGTAATTATTTAACACTCTTACTCCACCGAAAAAACCTCCCTTTAATTTTCCATATATAAACTGTATTTCCTATACAATTTACGGATCATCCTTTGATGAAATGAGGTTGTGATCTCAACTTTATTCATCGGTGAGAAAGGCCCGAAAAGCTAATCTAATCAACAAAGCCAAAGGAGTACACCCTCTTGCCTGGCCAGTAAATGTGCAAATACACTCTTTTTTTTAGAACATCGTCTAATTTGGGCTTGAGGCTGAACATACTTATTTTTTTGCGATTTGCGCCTGAAAACGTTATTAACATCTTCAAGTTGTGTGGAATAATGCTTCAATACATAAATTAAGTTCGACTTTAGCGTATTGTGCAATAAAGAAACCGCATCGTTAGTGTTAAAAAATATCCCTGAGTATTTGAATTAATTGTTAGACCACAGTTTTACATTGCTTTTACCTATATTTACACTTCTCACAAAAAAAAATTAGCAAATTAAACAGGGTCGGCCAGGGGGGGTAGTGGAATACCAATATACCCGAAAAAAAATCGACAAAATACCCCAAAATACCCCAACTTCCTCCAAATATACCCAAAAATAATCGAAGCTTCGAATACTTTATACCTGAAATTCAAAGAAAGTGATATACTGAATACCCATATTTAAGCTGCAATATACCGTATACCCGATTTAAAACGCCCCTGAATACCGAATACCCAAAAACCCTGGCCGACCCTGATTAAAGACGTTCTTAACTGACTTTCAGCCTGGGTATGTTCTTAGTATGTTTTCAAAATTTTGGTTTATCTCAACTTAAACATTCCTTTAAAAAAGGTTCTTATAAACAAAAAAAGAGTGTAACACATTTGGCACTTGCAACTCAGAACTAAACAAGCACACATTGTCAGAGTGTAACACATTTGGCACTTGCAACTCAGAACTAAACAAGCACACATTGTCACAAAGTTTGAGTTTCAAATGTAGTCTTTAACAATTATCTTGTGCCTCTCACTCTTCCAGTCATCTTAGGCCGCAAACCGAAATATTGGGCTAATACAAGTACATGAAGATCCCGTGATGTAAATGATTTTTAGTTCCACCCAATTAAGCCAACCTCCGCCATTAGAATCATTCCAGCGTCAATAACATGTATTTCAAATTTTCCAGAAAGTTTTAAGGCTCATCTCTTGAACTTGTGATAGTCTCCTTT